ATGGTGTCTACTGGCAAGCGCTACCTACTACTGACAGTATTTACAAGGCGTATTTCAAGTTTATAAGGTATAATATATATATATATATATATATATATATATATATATAGAGAGAGAGAGAGAGAGAGAGAGAGAGAGAGAGAGTGTGAGTGTGTGTGTGTGTAGCAAACGTATTTAACACATTAGTTTTTCTTACATATCTCAAAAAATAACAGATCAATTTCAACGAAACTTATAGGTCATAGAGCCGGTAAATGTTGTTAATACTGTTTATTATAAATATTTGTATCTATAAAAAAAAAAGAATGTATAAACATAAAAAAATGCTTTAAAATAATTGTCTGACTTTGTCCATTTCATAATGTGTGACGTCATTGTTTACATTTGGATACGCATCGAGCAGATATGAATATACGTGACAGAATCATGGAAAATTGTAATTTAAAAACAGTAAAATTGACCTTGACCGAATGCTCCTCGATATGCGAAATCGGTAAAAGCATGTTAGGCTATATGACAGATCCGTACAGGATACAGGTTCGATTCCTCTCGGAGGACGCATATTTCCTATGACAATTTCTCGGACATTCAGGCCGGTAAATGTTGTTAATTCTGCTTATTATAGACAGAGCATTTACTTAAGTATTTGTATCTATAAAAAAGAATGTATAAACATAAAAAAATGTCTTAAAATAATTGTCGGACTTTGTCCATTTCACATGCGCTGTTTTCTTATTCTCCATAGGATCCTTTCATATTCCCGGATAACATTTTGTGTGATTATTGAAGGACGAGAGGAAGACACCGTGTTGATTCATATTTTATTTTATTATCTTATTACTTTCGACATAGCATAATGTCATCATCAGGGTATTATTATTTTCGTAAGTGTTGTGATGTTCATGGTTGCGAAAGACAAAAATTGTTATGACCATCTGGAAAATAACTTTCGTATTTGCAAAGTCAGTAACGCTGTATCATACTGACAAAACCCGCTTAAAGAGAGGTAACTATGTATTGGAAAGATTTTCCGACATGAGTAGTCGAAAAATAAAGGAAGAACTATTAGTATGATCATTTTAATTTAAAAAATCGATCCATTGAATACATTTTATAATGTTTGTGGAGAATTCATAATTAATGTTATTAATGTTTGGTTTCAATTTTTTCATATAAATGGCATCGAGAATTTTTAGTTTGTGTTTTCTGTTCGTGGAAAAATATATATATACTCACACACACACACACACACACACACACACACATATATATATATATATATATATATATATATGTGTATGTATGTGTGTGTGTGTGTGTGTGTGTGTGTATAATCTTCACAAATATTCTTAAATTGATAACTGAAGCCACTGGCCATTATTTACATTATTCGGACTATTTTCCTCATCATTGTCACCATATTTATTACAACGTTTCGGCCTTTCAGTATCTGTCTATATTTGTGAGATGAGGTATTATGTACACTATTTACATTATACGGACTATTGTCCTCATCTTTGTCGCCATATTTATTTCAACGTTTCGGCCTTTCAGTATCTGTCTACATTACTGAGGTGAGGTATTATGTACACTATTTACATTATTCGGACTATTGTCCTCATCTTTGTCGCCATATTTATTACAACGTTTCGGCCTTTCAGTATCTGTCTATATTTCTGAGATGAGGTATTATGTACACTATTTACATTATTCGAACTATTGTCCTCATCTTTGTCGCCATATTTATTGCAACGTTTCGGCCGTTGTAAGCTCTCCAAGTTCTCCACTGCCTTAACTCAAGGACACATTGCACAGTGGATAAAGGCGTTAGTTAGATCCAATGACAGGACCCAAAGAGTGTGAGTTCAATACCTGGTTAAGGCAGTGGAGATCTTGGAGAGGGGAATAACCAGGGGATAACTGATAACTGACATCCATTAAACATGGCACGTTGAAGTAGAACAGTCTACCCCAGTGAGCAAAATAAAGGGTTCAGTTCGACATTCCAACCACCTGAAGATGGTCGAATATTATACGCTCCATAGATTTTAGTAGATTATGCGAGAGCGTTTGATAAATTCCGTCGCTAAGAACTGATTGAACTGCTCGGTAAGCTTGTTTTTTTTTTTTGTTTTTTTTTGTTTTTTTGAGAAAGATATTAGAATAATCTGGAACTTACCTTGGGAGCAAACCGCCTGCATACGGATAAAAAAAAAGGACTGAGTAACTACAGTAAAGCCAAGCAAGGATGCGCCGTTTCACCAGACTTATTCAAACCTTTCGGTGAGATGGTCCTGAGAGATCTGGAAGTCCTACCAAGGATTAGGAAAGAGAGAGAGGGAGAGCAGAAAAACAAACTTGATTAAGAGCTACAAAAGAAAAAGAAATTGTAGAGAACCATGAACGCTTACGTCATGAAAGGAAACGGCACATATAAGAAGATTCATACTGGTAGAAAGACAAAAAACTAACGTATGTCTTTCGACGATTAATTTTTAAACGTTAAGACATCTGTTCTTCGCATTTTTGTTTTGATGATGTTATGGTCCGGTTCCTTGTACCACGGTGATAGTCCAAGGTAGAACCAATAAAGAAGAACTCGAACACGTATATGGAATAACACTGATATATTATAAACAGGAATATATACAGAGAAGTAGAAAAGTGTTAGTAGGAACAATCAGGTTTAGTAGTAATTGTCTGAACGCGACTCTGTTTCGGACTGCCTCTGACTCGACTGACTGACTCGCTCGTTCTGACTGACTGACAGACTCATGACGGACCTCACTCCAGACTTCAGACTGAACAGTATTTAGTCACCACCCACGAGGGTATCATGTGGCACAAAGCCGGTTTAACGTGGGATCACCGAGCCTGTGGGCTCGGCCAAAAATATGCCCTCTGAACCCGTATAAACGGGTTCAGGGTTGGTTTACCTCCCCGAAAGAGACTCCGCCCTTCGGCGTAGCCTCGTTCGGGTTCCTCCCCGCCCGAAGGCCGAAAGTTCAACCGATCAGCCGGTCAGCCGGTCGCCCGACTTCGGACTGAACTCTCTGCTTCCTCTTCCTATGGCGCAGTATTTATTACGTATGGAATAGTCCATTATGTTATTATGGGTAAGGTCCCATACCAGATGACTTTTTATTTTTTTAATCATTTCACCCCAAGAAAGCCGATAAAGCCACTAAGATGTACGGGGATTAGTGAGTGTTAGAGAATATGCGAAAAAATCACTACTAAGGAGAGAGAACAATAAAAGAATTAAAAGGACAGAAGATAACGATTGAAATTGTATTTGATTTTATTAAGAGCAAATTTGACTGGAAAGCAAGAATCTGGAAGTGATTTCAACCAGCGAGACGTGCGATAGAAGAAACTATTAACAAAGGACTTACGGTTACATGAAGCCATTCCAATAGTAAAATGATAATACCTTGTCGCCAATCTGGTACAGCGCTGAAATTCAAAACGTCTATAGAAGAAATTTCATCTGTACAATTCCCATGAAATTAGTATTTATAAAAAAGGTACGGGGAAGCTTATGGCGGTGGGCAAGTGACTGAAGACAAAGATGCCAGATCAGGATTAATAACATTGCAGATTCTTGTTTAGATTTTATCAAGAATCTCTGGATATATAGCAGGAGAAGCAGGCCAGATATGGCAGTGACATTCAAAGCAAGTTATTTCATTATAAAAAATCGTAATAATATCATTAATTAAAGAACAATATGGCAATTAATTTTCTTCGACAAAACACAAAAGAATTTTCACTTCTAATTTCTTTAGAATCGATTACAGAAACAATAGGGGAACATATGCCTTTTCTTTCTATGACCATTATAAATCAATTGCCTTTTTTTTTATCTATTTTTAATCATTTTTATTTGTGTTTCAGCGGAGAAGAAATGCAATAAAGCTACAAAAAAAAAATCACTGCTTGCTCCAGAAGAGTTCGGCCATTTAATTGTTATATACGAAAAACAATTCTTTTTAAAAAATTCATACGGGGCGGGGTGGTGAGAAAAATATTGTCGCGTCACTGTTTACAAGGTTGTTCCCGTCAAAGCAGACTGAAAATTTGCAAACAATGTTTATATAAAAAATAAAAAATAATAATAATAATAATAATAATAAATGAATTATTTTAATTTTTTCTTTAACACTTCCGCAACAGTAAACGTATTTATACATCTTTCATAAACATATTACCGGCTGTTAACATATATATTCTTTTTCCAAACACTAAAATATCGGTTACTAATGTTTGTGCTATAAACTAACTAACGCGTTGTGCTGTCTGCAAACCAGCACAGACATATCGTAGCATGAAATACAACCAGTTTTGTGACTAATTTTTATCCCATTATGTGTTAGGTGTGCCGTTTAGTTTGTCTCTACTGCAGAATATCCAAAAGAAACCAAAATGGTGGCGCCCATCGGAAATTTCCATCAGCGTCTTTATACTCACTTATTTCCAGTAAATGGTAATTACCTAATTTTCCTAAAATAGTCCAGCACAGCCAGGCAACAATGCCTGGTGGATTAACACTTTCACTGCTGTGTTGTGGATGAACGATGGCATAAGAAATAACATTGGCGGCTGTTTTGATAAGTCAAACGATGCTGTGTTAATCGTTCGAGGTCCCAAAATGAATTAACGAGCAGGAACTAAGAGACAAGTTATCTAATTCTGCGTTTAGTTTTAAATGACTCTATCCTTACTAGGAGATATTTATGTTCAGAATGATATTAGAAAGAACCCGTCCTGGGTAAGACAATAAACTACATCCGCGTCCTGGGTAAGACGATAAACGACATCCAACAGTAAGGCCTCTGATCAGGAGGTTCTGAGGAGCATGTAACCACCTCTTAATTGCTGGTGTTCCCAGGTCCATCCTGACCCGGGGTGCTAGCACCTGTTAGGGACCCCACTATGGGCAAATAGTTAACACCCAAACTGGGGTCAAAGCTCTATGAAATTGTAAAAATAGTTTTTAATTTTTGTAAAAAATTATTACCAGCAATTAATTTTTGAAGAAAATAATTATTACCAGTAATACATTTTTGAAAAAATATTTCCAGCAATAAAAAAATCGTCGGCATTAAATAACCCATTAAGGTGTTGATATGCCTTAATGAAAATAATGCTCATCCACAATATAGCAGTGAAAGTGTTAATAATAATAATAATAATAATAAATATTATTATTATTAGTAGTAGTAGTATTTCATTTCCTTTGATTTCTGGTATGTACCTATTTCTTTCCCGGTTCCAACGAGAGATCTAATTTCAGAAATGGCGTCATGATATTTTCCACTGAGTAATTGAAAAAAAAAACACATATTGTACATAGATAAAGCTCTTCGTAATGGATGGGATGTACGCATGAATACAGTTCTTCGTACTTCTTTAAGATATGGGCTGCCAAGAATTCCTTCAACGAGACTATTGGAATCTTTTCCAATCAATCTGAGGGCTCCAACTACAACAGGGATTGTTGATATTCTCATGTGCTACTTTTTTGAGATTTCGATTTCAAGCAACTTGTATTTTTTACATTATTATTATTATTATTATTATTATTATTATTATTATTATTATTAGAAGGTTTCGCGATTTTCCTATTTGAATCTCTATCTATAAAAGGCAGGATGTGTGTGTGTGTGTGTGTGTGTGTGTGTGTGTGTGTGTGTGTGTGTGTGTGTGTAACGAATGCACGGCCGCAATTTTCGACAAATTTGCACTAAAATTTACATGCACATGCTCCAAATTAGTGGCAAGGCCAATACCGACATTGAATTTCCCAACTCCCATCGATAGTGGAAATAATCGATTTTTCATGCTTCTTCGGCAGTTTTATGTAGTTTGCGGCCATTTTCTACTGGCCAGAGTGAGAGCCTATAGCTGGCTGCCACGAGTAGGCAGGAAGATTCTATTGGCCAGTGTGAGAGCCAACAGCTGACTGACACGAGTGTTAACTACCATGCTAGCATGCAAAAAAAAAATCGATAGCTGCATTCGTCACAAGTGGTAAAAATTTAAATCTGCATGGCACTTTACTCCAATTGGCTCATTTGCTTGCTTAAACTCAACGTTGATTCTGATTCCGCAAAGCTGGGTTGGGTGTGAAAAAGTATTTGTTGTTAACATTCTTTTTTCATTCGGTTTTTCAAGTTACGAGTTCTTTTTTAAAGCTCATCGTTTTGTGTTCATTTTGTTTAGTTCTTTTTTCGTAACAGATTTAATGTTTAGTATAGAGCTTAGAAAAAATGCGCAGTGTGAGATAGGCAAGAAGTAAGGCATGTAGCAACATCATCATGGCAAAGGGCACTCCTTTAAAGGCAAGGAAGGGCAAAAATATTTTAAGTCAAGTGATAGTGATTACTGTATGAGTCGTACGATTTTTTAATCAAGCACAGGCAACGCCGGGCCATGCTGCTAGTTTTCTGATAAATCTTAATTCTTAAGTTAATGATTGAATAAGCTTACAGCATGTTCTACGACAATAAAATATCAATAGACAATAAAATATCAATAGACAATAAAATATCAATAGAAATTTCCCATTTTCTCATTGTTAAATATTTGAGCTTAACAACTTTAACAAAATATTGCAATAACAATTATAAATATGAGTGGCGGTCGTTATCTTAAGAAGTAAGGGAGTACAAATAAAAAAAATTGAAATTGATAACTTTTTTCCATTTCACTGAAACATCCGTTAACAACTTCTATCTTTCCTTCTTTCTTTCTAGCCAAATTTCTCTTAATAATAATTTAAAAATAATTCAGTAGATGATGCTATTTTATTTATGGTAAATGGATTTTTGGCGATTGCCCTCCTCAGTTTCCGTTTTTGATACTGTGCGTCTGAAAAATGCCGCATTTATCAGCCTTTTGTTGGGATCAGTGTGTAGTATCTGTTCTTATCAGCTTAATCTAATTCTCTCTCTCTCTCTCTCTCTCTCTCTCTCTCTCTCACTCCACGTCTATCTTCTGTACTTTCTTTCTTTAATTTTCTTACTGAAACCGAACAATGGCTTTTCCCCTCTTTCCACGCAATTATAACAGAATAGTCCTTTATTTATGAGATATTGGCAGGGCGTAACGGTCTTGCTAACTGTAGAAGAGAGGGAAAAGAAGTGAAAGTGTTAATAATAATAATAATAATAATAATAATAGTAAACACCACAAACCAAAAAAGTGTCTCCTTATTGATATGACAGTCCCTGCTGACTGCAGTGTATCTTTGAAGATATTCAAAAAGCTGTCAAAATACAAGGATCTTGAAATAGAAATCTCAAAAATGTGGCATATGGGAACATCAACAATCCTTGTTGTAGTTGGAGCCCTAGGATTGGTTGGAAAAGATTCCAGTGGACTAATTGAAGGGATTCCTGGAAGTCCATGCCTTAAAGAGATACAAAAAATTGTTCTGAAAAGTACAGCCCATACTTTACGAAGGGCTTTATCTATGTAATTTTTTTTTTTTTTTGTCACTGAAAAGTGTGATGATGCCATTTCTAACCTTTGGTCCCTGGGCGGGACCTGGAAAGAAATGTGTGAACGCCAGAAATAAAAAATAAAAAAAATAATAAATAATAATAATTATTATTATTATTATTATTATTATTATTAGAAAGTTTCACGGTTTTCTTATTTTAATATTTTTTATATTCTTCAGTTAATGATTGAATCAGATCATGGCGATATCTATGATAATAAAATATCCGTATAAACCTATTTTTACACCTTCATAATGTTTTGACCCGAGTTTGGGGGTTAACTATTTTCCCATACTTGGATCCCTAACAGGTGCTAGCATCCCAGGTCAGGGTCGACCTGGGAGCACCAGCAATTAAGAGGTGGTTCGACGCTCCTCAAAACCTTCTAATCAGAGGCCTTGCTATCGGATGTAGTTTATCGTCTTACCCAGGACGCGAAACCAAATAATGTCTCTCCCCTCTTTCCATGCGTTCAAAACAGAATAGTACATTATTTATGAGGTAATGGCAAGACGTAACGGTCGTGCGAACTAAGGAACTAACGAAGGGAAGGACAAGCACAGTTATTATTATTATTATAATTATTATTATTATTATTATTATTATTATTATTATTATTGTACTTGAAATTATATGATAAAAATTATAGTAATTTGGAGAGTTTAATGAATACATTTCGTTTCAAAGAATCGTGTGAGGACTATCTTTGAGAAAGGTAGTTTGTGAAAGTTGTGGGGTATTACTGCCACCTTTTTCAGCCAAGACGCCCGCCAGGTGGCACTGTTCTGCGCTATAAAAAGAAGGGACAATAAACCATCTTCTTCGTTTGCTCTGGATGCAGTAATGACGACACTTCCCTCTTCCATTCTTTGTCGTCCGGCAAACAAACTTACGTGAACATCATACAGCTAGACATTTCCTAAGAGCAAATCCCGTGTTTTTCTCTCTTTTCAGCTGTCTGTGTACACATAACTATATTTTCTTTTTTTCTTGTATTGTTACTATTTATATAAATATATATCCGTAAAATTCTCCCATTCCGTTCATTAAGAGATGCAGGAATCCATTTTTACAAGAAATAAAACTATGGAAATTAAAGAACACCAAAGCAGCATTCAAATTACAATATGACAGACACCTGAATGACCCGAATTGCAAAGTGATGTACACGGACATCGTTAAATGCAAATGCAAATAAACAACACATAAGAATGAAAATTCAAAGAGAAAATTTAGTAACATCAGCAGATGAGAACATTCAAAGGAAAATTTGACAGGAAAAAAAAGGAGTGGATGATAGATGAAATCATCGACATGATGAAAATAAGACAGCAAACAATACCAAGATGTGGTACAGAAATATAAGACATTAACAAAGTAATTAAACACAAACGCAGGCAGTAAAAAGTGGAATGATTCAACGAAAAGTGTGCAGAAACAGAAAGACTGATACTCACAGACGAAGCGGATACCCATAAAAGAATTAGATAAATAGCAGGAAAAAAGATATGTTCATTAATACAATGCATAGAATTAAAAGAGAGAAAACTAATGATGAAGAAAGAAAAATGGTTAAAAGCTAGCAGGAATACATGGGAGAACTCCAGTATCTGTCTATATTTCTGAGATGAGGTATTATGTACACTAATTACATTATTCGGACGATTGTCCTCATCTTTGTCGCCATATTTATTACAACGTTTCGGCCGTGGTACGCTCCGGCCTTCTTCAGGTGGTTGGAATGTCGAATTGAACCCTTTATTTCGCTCACTGGGGTAGACTGTTCTAGTTCCACATGCCTAGAGCTAGATTATTCTTAATAGAAATCTTATAAGTATAAGAAACTATACTCGCTCGGAAATAAACAAGCCAATACCAAAGGGGAAAAAAAAGGTATAAAAAAAAGAAAGGACCAAGAACATGTACGTTAACCGAAAATAATCGTCCAGCATACGAGTCCAAGGCCCAAAGAAAAAAAAACCACGATGCGAGTACCCAAAACAACTAAATAAAGTGCTCAATACGGTAAGTAGAGCAGACCTCGTTAAACCTAGAGAGTCAGACAAACCTACCAAGGTTTCACCTAAGCAAATCGTCAGGGAAGGTCGGTTCCGAGCGAGTATAGTTTCTTATACTTGTAAGATTTCTATTAAGAATAATATATACAGTGTAACCCGGATATAACAGACCCGGATATAAGAGAAACCCGGATATAAGAGAGAGTTTCTCTAGTCTCAAATTAGAGCCCATACTTACCTAAACAAAATAGACCAAACCCGGATATAAGAGAAACCCGGATATAAGAGACTTATTTTCCGGTCCGACAACTCTCTTGTATCCGGGTTACACTATATATATATATATATATATATATATATATATATATATATAATGACAAAAGGGAAACTTTTCATAGTCTGATAAGCTTTATCAAGGTCAATGCAAGTATTTTATTTTGTAACAAATATTTCTATGCAAGTACAAATGTGTTATTGTTTTTTCAAAATGCTGAGTTTACAACAAGTAACGATGTACATAAACATATATCCCATCATTGACTAAAGTACACAGGTCGAAAAGAGACAGAGGCTTTTATAATGGCTGCTTATGGCCGATGGCTCTTCCCCAGGAATTAAAACTACTACAGAACACATATGTATGTTGTCCAATCCAGTCACCGAAGGAATTCAAAGATCAACATAAGATCGTGTTATATACAGGACTCGAAGGCATTTCGGTGTTACAGTGTGTCAAATTATGAATCGTGATATGAAGGATACCCCGAAACGATCATAGAAAGCCATGAGGTTATTTGTTTTTTTTTTATTTGGAAGTTGCCATTCATATTAACACTAATATAAAAAGCTAATAGACAACATCAATCAAAGACTATAGACGAAAGAACGCTTTCTCATAATTTAATAAGTCCACTAGTAAACCCTGTTTACAAGTGATTTAGTATATAATAGACGAAAAGGATTGAAGACGACACACAAAAAGATTCTACAGATATGATAGTGACGTTGAATATAAAGAAAAAAGAACTACGTTTTTAACCATATTTAGACAGTATTCAGAAAGTTATGTCCAGAAGATAATGTCATAAACCTTGTTAAACACACTTATTTTTTCCTTCCTGAAATCTTGCGCTTCACCAAGTTTTATAAAATACTGCAAGAATTACGTCAATAATTTATTGTTAATAATAATAATAATAATGAGTGCAAATAAACCATAATACATCTACTGCAATGGCAGAGAACCTAAAAAGAAAGCAAAAGCAAATTCAATATAACAAATATAGAAACGATGACAAGATAATCCTCTTCAGGGTCAAAACTCTGTTCGTACAAAACAAGCTGATTCAGATAAACCCAGTACCCATCAGTGGTTACAGAGTGCAGAATTAAATGCTGAAACAGAAAGTTTTATTCTAGCTGCACAGGACCAATGATTACTAAACTAAAAATTACCAAGCACACAATACTGAAAAATTGTGTTAATCGAAATACAGATTCTGTGATAAATATCCAGAAACAATTGATCATCTTTGTATTAAGTTGCACGTTGTTAGCACCCACTGAATATAAAATTCGGCGTGATAGATGGGGCAATTTCTGAACTGGAAAATATGCAACTTTTAGGGGAAGAAAAATGCAAGAAACTGGTATGAACATCACCCAGTTATTATAGATAGGACCTGTAACAATTTTATGGGACTTTAGAAGACACACAGAGAGAACAATCAAAAGTTAATCGTCCAGACATCACGATAAAAAAACACAAGAACAGAATGTGCCTTTTTATTGATATGTTTGACCCCCTAGACTGTAATATATCTTTAAAGATTTTCAAAAACTATCAAAGTACAAGTATCTTGAGGTCGAAATCTAATGAATAGCACATGAGGAGATCAACAACTGAGAGGGATGAAAGCGTCCGATAGACTCACTGAGAGGGATAATGGTAGCCCATACCTTAAAGAAATATAGCAAAATTGTAGTCAAAATACTCATCACAGCTTTATCTAAACAAAAAATTAGTTTATTTTTTTATTTTGTTTATTTTTTTATTTTTATTTTTTGCTTTTTTTGGTTTTTGGGGTTTTTTTGTTTTGTTTTTGTTTTTTGTTTTTTTTTTAAAATATTTTTTTTTATTTTAAAAAGATAGGCCCTGTAACAATTTTATTAGACGTTACAATACATACAGAGAGAACAATCAAAAGTTAATCGTAACCAGACAACGTGATCAAAGACCACAAAATAGAAAAATCTTGAAAACTATCTTATTGATATGGCAGTCCCTGCAGACTGCAATGTATCTTTGAAGATCTTCAAAAAAACCATCAAAATACAAGGATCTTGAAGTGGAAATCTAATGAATGTGGCACATGAGGACATCAATAATTCCAGTTGTAGTTAGAGCTCTCGAATTGGTTGGACAAGCTTTCGATAGACTCATTGAAGGGATTCTTGGTAGCCCAAAAGCCTTAAAAAATACAAAAAGTACAGCTCACATATTATGAAGGGTTTTATTTATGTAAAATGCGTGTGGTCTTGTTTTTGTTTTGCTTTTTGTATTGACTTTGTTTTTTGTTTGTTTGTTTTGTTTTTGGGGGTTTTTTTTTTTTTTTACAAAAATGATCAGTGAAAAATGTCATGTAGCCATTTCTGACCTTAGGTCTCTGGTTGGGACCCGGAAGGAAATGTATATACAACAGAAATCAAAAGAAATATTAATAATAATAATAATAATAATAAGAAGAAGAAGAAGAAGAAGAAGAAGAATTTGTTATGAACGCCACCCAGACCCGGTTACGGAGATAGGACCTGTAACAATTTTATAGGACTACACAAAACACACAGACAGAAAAATCTAAGCTAATCCTTAAGACATCGTTATTAGAGACCACAAACAAACAAAAAATGCCTCCTTATTGATATGGCTGTCCCTGCAGACTGCAAAGTATCGTTGAAGATCTTTAAAAGCTATCGAAATACAAGGACCTTGAAACGAAATCTCAAAATGTGGTACATGAGAGCATCAACAAAACCCTGTTGTAGTTGGAGCCCTCAGATTGGTTGGGATATATTCCAGTAGACTCATTGAAGGGATTCATGAAGAACATGCTTTAAAGAAATACAAAAAAGAAAGAAAGAAAGAAAGAAAAAGAAAAAGAAAAGGGAATGATAAAAAAAAGGGAGAAACGATGAAAAAAAAGAATCAATGAACAAATGGCAATGAAAAGAAAGAAAGAAAAGAAAGAAAGAAAGAAAAAAGAAAAAAAAGAAAAGAAAGTAAATTCGTCAAGAAAATTCGTCAATAAAAAGTAAAATTAGCAAAGAAAGACAGACAGACAGACAAACTGACAGAAAGAAAGAAAATATTATCAAAGAAAGAAAGAAAAGAAAGAAGCAAAGAAAAAAGAAAGAAAGAAAAGGAAAGGAAAGAATCGTAAAGAAAGATCAGCTAAGAAAAAAAGACAGAGAAGCAAACAGTCAAATTGACAGAAATAAAGAAAGAAAATATTAGCGAAGAAAGAAAGAAGGAAAGAAAGAAAAGAATCGTAAAGAAAGAAAGAAAGAAAGAAAGAAAGAAAGAAAGAAAGAAAAAATATTATCAAAGAATTTAAGAAAGAAAGAAAGAAAGAAAGAAAGAAAGAAAATATTATCAAAGAATTTAAGAAAGAAAGAATGATGATGTTATATAAGGGATGACTCTCATCTCATCTGATCTTAAATGATTGGACGTTTTAGCATATACTTGTCTTGTTGAATTAAGATGGGCTACAGTCAATATCACATACATTACAACACACACTTGATTGTCCGTTGCATGATCCTAACCCGATAGATATGTCACAAGCAGGAGTATTAAAGGATTATCGAAGCCTGTTGTCGAAGGGATTGTTTACATAATTCTAAAGAATGAGGCCACCAAAGCGACGTGGCATTCACATCTTAATATTTGCGAACACGCTCAAATGTAGAACATCCGAGCAGGTTTAACCAACTTCCGCTTCTCGTCCATAGGAAACTGCCTACTCAACTGAATGTCTAGATCCAATAGACGGTCTATATTGGTCCAAAAAAACTATACATTCCTGGCAAGGATTATAACACAGAAAAATTTCAGTCCAAATCAGTAGTACGGCAAAAATTAAATGAGAAACCCAGCCTAATTTTAAAAAAGGTTACGTACAATGCACTGTACAGATATGAAGAGAGGGGCACTGATCATTTAAGCACTTCATATCATAACTGAACCTAATACTAGTTTATGCTTTCTGTCCCAACGCCAGTGCACTAATCAAGAGGGGATATATGCTAATGGAATTGGTATAAGAATGATCTTGAACCAAAAAGCAACATTCTCTACCAAGCGTTTCAAGAAGTCGGACCTAAGAGAAACATTTCCAAAACAGGGTATTGATGACGATGAAAGATACCCTGATGGCACAGGTATTCATAGTTGGGATAAGAATGATCTTGCACCAAAAATCAACATTCTCTACCAAGCGTTTTAAGAAGTTAGACGCAAGAGAAACCTTTCCAAAACAGGGTACTGATGACGAGTTGAGATATGCTGATGGCATAGATATTCATAGTTGGGATAAGAGTGATCTTGAACAAAATATCAACAGTCCCTACCAAGGGTTTCAAAAATAACCATTCTCTCACAAATGCTCCAATAAATAGGATCTATTTAGGTTCCTGGAAATTCTGACAAAATCCATATTGCGAACGGACCTGATTTTTTTTTTTATTATTAAAATCGGAGTTGTGTGATATCGAAATTTCGAGAGGAAAAAGAATAAAGAAAAAAAGAAAAGAAAAAGACAGACACAAAAGAGAAGAAGGATGACTATATAAATTTCCCATAATCTAGCTTTGATCGAAATATTGTTCGGTATAATTTGAGCATTATTCGAATTTCGAACCTAACCCATCATTTTGTGCACTAGTTCCACTTGCCATGCCTTTCCTGGATATCTAAGTTTAATTTATTTCCCCTTACCAATTAACCACGCCAATCTTTTGTTCGCCTCTACTTTTGACAGGTATTGAAACAATTCACGCCACGCTTTTAACTTTGTGTCCTTGCATATCACCTGAAGAAGGCCGGAGCGCCAACGACCGAAACGTCGTGAATGTGAGATGAGGACAAGAGTCCGAACAATTGTCTAAATAGTATAAAATAGAAAAGAAAAAGCGTTCAACGACCGAAACTTCGTGAATATGACAATACAGATGAGGAAAGATAAAATGAAAGGTAACAGTACCGCATTTCAGAAATATAGACAAAGAAGAAAAAGAAAGAAAGGATAGACAAAGGATGAGGACAGCTGTCAGAACAAAAGAGATAGTTAAAAAGAAAAAAAGAAAGCCTCTAAAAGCTTCAGAAATACAGTCGATTAAGGTCACCAGAGTGAAGAGCTTAATTATATAGGTGTGGGGCTTGGCATAACCCAGCCTATTGAACAACCGTGTGTTTACCATGAAAGATTTCTATCTATTTTTCCATTCTCAGACAAAAAAGACAAGAGTGCCGTCGGGGGGGACGAAACATAAAGAGGGAAATAAAAGTTGAATTCCAAGTGTCGAACACATTATAAGCCTTTCATTACTTTATTCTTTCTCGTAATTTTCTTTTTCGGTTTCTTTATTTATGTTATTTATTTATTTATTCTTCATTTATTTATTTATTTTATTTTTATTTATTTATTTATTCATTGCTTTATTTATTTTTCATTTATTTATTTATTTATTTTATTTCACCTATTTTTCTTACTTTTTTTTTTAACGTTTTCTCCTCTTTCATTTCTTTTTTTATTTTATAGTTTTCCTATTTCTTTTTTTTCTTTCTTTTTTCACACTTTTCCTTTGCTTTTTGTCTTTTTTTTTCTTTTTCTTTCTCTTTTTTCATCTTTGTTCTTTCTTTTCTTTCTTTCCTTTCTTTTCCTTTTTTTCCTTTTCTTTTTTTCTTCTTTTCTTCTTTTCTTTTTTCTTTTTTTTTTTTTTTTTTTCTTTTTTCTTTTTTTCTTTCTTTTCCTTTTCTTCTTTTTCTCTTTCTTTTTTTTTTCATTCCTTTCTTTCTTTTTCTTTTTTCTTTTTTTTTTGTCTTTTTTCTCTTTCTTTTTTCTTTTCTTTTCTTTCTTTTCCCTTTTCCTTTTCCTTTTCTTTTTCTTTCTTTTCTTTTTTTCCTTTTTTGCCTTTTTCCTCTTTCTTTTTTTTTCTCTTTTCTTGCTTTATTTCTTTCTTTTTTTTCATTCCTTTCTTTTTCCTTTCCTTTTTTCTTTTTCTCTTTCTTTTCTTTTTTCCTTCTTTCTTTTTTTTTTTTCTTTTTCTTTTTTCTTTTTCTCTTTTCTTTCTTTTTTCTTCCTTTTTTCTTTTTCTCTTTTATTTTCCTTTTCATTCTTTTCTTTCTTTTCTTTTTGTTTCTTTTTTTTTCTTCTTTTTTTTCTTTTTTTCTTTTTCATTTTTTTCTTTCTTTCTTTTATTCTTAGTTATACAAGTACAGCCACACTAGCCCAAAAGGGGTTACGGGGTGTGGAAGAATTAGGAAAGGAAAATACTGAGGAGAAAGAGGAAAGAGAAATCAGGACAGTAGATAGCGATTGACATAGCATTTACATTTTTGCAGATTACAGTTCTTCTGAAAAAATACATAAAAATGAGAGATAACGAACTGTGAGCAGAGAGCAGACTTGTTAACGTGTAAATTGATGAGATCTCAGTGTTAGTCTCGTACCGCGCTTAAATTCATACAGTCTAGGTACCAGAGTGAAGAGCTTATCTGAACAATTTTCTATAAAAAGACAAAGAGTTGGGGGGAAAATTCAAATTTCTTTTTTCTTTCTTTCGCAATCTTTCTTTCGTTTTCTTTCTTTTTCTTTTCTTTTCTCTTCCATTTTTCTTTTTTTTCTTTATCACGCTTTCTTTCTTCTTTTTCTTTTCATTCTTTCGTGCTCTTTCTTTTTTTTGCTTTCTTTTTTCTTTCATTTTCTTTCTTTCCTTCCTTTCTTTCTTTTTCTTTTCACGCTTACATTTTTCATTCCTTCTTTCTTTCTTTCTTTCTTTTTCTTTCTTTTTTCATTCATTTTTTTTTGACTTTTTCTTTTTCATTATTCATTTTTTTATATAGATCAAAGAAAGATTTTTCTATAACACAAGACAAAATAAACACTTTAAAAGAAAAATTCAAAATTATATTTCCCTACAAATTATCTTTTTATTTTGTCATTTTTTCTATAAAAATAATATAGAAGAAATAAATATTTTATATATATATATATATATATATATATATATATATATATATATTAAACGTATATATATATGTATATATATATATATATATTTATATATATATATATATATATATATATATATATATATATATATATATATATATAAAAATATATATATATATATATATATATATATATATATATATATATATATATATTTTTATACATATATATACGTTTAATATATATATGTGTGTGTGTGTGTGTGTGTGTGTGTGTGTGTGTAAAAGGCACAGTGGAGTAAGCGGCTCGGATTGAGGAATCGGGCGTGGAGCCGAATCCATTACATTCACTTACGTGCCTAATTAATCCTCTTCTTCTCCCTCCGGCTATGGATAAATAGCAGCATAGACTAGGTCCTATAGCCTTGGATGGCAACTGGTCTAGGAGAAAGACAACTCGGAATTTAAAACTTGCGGAGGGTTGTTTGGAGACCTCGTGCCCTGTAGTGACACCAAGTCTCCTGATTCAACCCCTTCAAAAAACGTGGTTGGTTTTGCACAAAGCCTTCACCACTATAATAAAATCATGTATGCTGGTGTCTGGGAAATGAGGTGCTTGATCCTCATACGTCGAATACCACGGGAGAGCCCACCAAGTATATATATATATATATATATATGGGTGGGTATGCAAACATATAGTATTAAATATAACAAATAACGAATGTCCATATAACCATTCTGAGGATGGTCCATGTGAGCCGAAAACTTAGATCAAAGAACAGCATAATAAAAATATATCCAAAAGTTGGACAGTTAATGCAACTATACGAAGCTTATAACGGCTCATGATCAAACATATTTCGTTGTCTGTTCTAGTTAACAATATATGTTTGAATAATAATCTGTTGCCCCAATATAATACATATATATATATATATATATGTATGTATGTGTGTGTGTGTGTGTGTGTGTGTGTGATGTATAGATGAGGTGGAAAAAGAAAGAAACAAAGAAAAGAAAGAGACCTATATAGAAAAAAAAAGAAATTAATAGAAAAGAATAGATAGATAGATAGATATATAGAAAAGAAAAATTGGGATAGATAGATAGATAGATAGATAGATAGATAGATAGATAGATAGATGGAAAATTAAAGAAACATTAAAGAAAAAAAAAAAATAGTATTAGATAGATAGATAGAAGAAAAGAAGAGAAATGGAAGTATTAGATAGATAGATAGATAGATAGATAGATAGATAGATGGAAAATTAAAGAAACAAAAAAAAGAAAGAGTATTACATACATAGAAAAGAAAAAAGAAAAGTATTAGATAGATAGATAGATAGATAGATAGATAGATAGATAGATGGAAAATAGAAACAAAAAATAGAAATAGATAGATAGATAGAAAGAAAAAGAAAAAGTATTAGATAGATAGATAGATAGATAGAGATAGATAGATAGATAGATAGATAGATAGATAGATAGATAGATAGATAGATAGATAGATAGATGTACATGGCGCAGACACACTTATCCGAGGATACCAGTCTACTATGGTTGCCAACTGGATCAGGCACATTTGTCTTCGTTCAACACCCTCAGAGCCCCCCTTTGTGGTTTATACTGCAACCACGCTGAGATGACATGACAGTTTCTGGAAGAGAGCGCGTTGTCTTGCATGATCAACAGTCTGAACAAGGCCAGACCGCCGATGACTTGTGGTCAACACAACGGTTCCCAAGGGTTCCGTCTACCCAATTTCACTTACAAGACTTGTCTCAATCCGTGGTATAGTTTCCAGGCACTTTCCAAAGGTGCCACACGCTGGAATCTCCTACGCTGATACCACCACCCAGTCACCCCGCTGAGAAATTAACGATAGTAAGATTCGAAACCGGTTCTCATGATGAGAAAGCGAACTTTCTGATAACTTGGACACGTAGACATATACACACACAGATACATACATACATACATACATACATATATATATATATATATATATATATATATATATATATATATATAGAGAGAGAGAGAGAGAGAGAGAGAGAGAGAGAGAGAGAGAGATTGAACAATAAAAAATATTAAAGAATTAAAATCTTTAGACACACTGGGTTGGAGATTAATATTCTTTCGTTTTTATTATTGTTTCATTTAGATTTCTCGACTAGTTTCGACCAACATGGCCATCATCAGCAGAAATAAAATTTTCTGCTTGCTGGTAGCAGTGAACTACAGAAATGAATGTCTTGATGGAGAAAATGAACTTTTGTCTATAGTTTTCATTTGTTTTTTTTTTATTTTTTTAACATGAATTTTGGTCAGACCTTGTGTTGGTCAAACAGTCTCTTTTAAGTTGTTATTTGAGATAAGAGCTGGATGGATCTATGCTGCTATGAATTCCTCTGGTCATTTTGACAGTTTTATATGTCCTGGAGAGGGGATGTGTCTCTGTTAAGTCTGTGTGTGTTATTTGGTTCTTAGGGAGTGAGTGAATAAGATGTGTGTAAGCGTGTATATTACTATGGGTGTGTGTTATCATTTGGCTCATTAGGGAGTGAATGAGTAGGATGTGTGTAAGCGTGTATATTCATGTAGATGTGTGTATAATTGTGAGGCCTCAACACCTCCATACCCATGTCTGCCTTGTGTGGGGGAGAAATGTGGATAGGTTTTGATTTGTAGGGTTATATATTAATACTATCTATATTGTTAAATTTATGGTTAAGCCGGGCTGGGGTAGTGCGTTGTATCCACTTATTTTCATGGAAGTCTAAAATCTTTCTAATGTTATCTGCTCTGAACTATTCTATTCTCACAATTATAGTGAATTTGGCATGGGTTTTAAAATTGTGTTTTTCTAGGCGGAAATGTTGTTCTACAGCTAATAATCTTTCATGGGGAGTCGACTTAATTCAACTGCGATAATTATTAATTACTGAAAGAGCCATTCAGATTTTCCTACATATTTTCTGGCATAGTGTGCATTCTAGTAGGTAAATTATATATATATATATATATATATATATATATATATAGAGAGAGAGAGAGAGAGAGAGAGAGAGAGAGAGATTTACTAGGGCATTGAATGTCTAAATAAATTGAATTGTATTTACTAAAATAAAAAAACAATAAACACTTTTTTCCTCATAATATCTAATGGTAATTCTAATACGAAACCTAGATTGCGTTATCTTAGGGTTCAAATATCCAAGATAAAAAAAAAATATGTTAATAAATATGAAAATGTATTCAACAAATGATACCCAAGTATTCTTATCAATTTGGGATAGAAATTCGAACAAAAAACCTGATTGTTGTATTGTATAAATGGTTCAATATTCAAAGTGTCGGTGAATATGTGAATAAATTTAATTTTATTTACCAAAATAAAGTCTTGTCAATTTCTAATGGCAATGCCATCAAAAATAAAATACAAAAAAAAACAAAGACATTGTTGTCATTATGTAAAGATTCCATTATCCTGGTAAAAGTGAATGTGTTAAAATTCTTTTATCTACAAATTTCAGTACTGAAATGTAAAAGACGTAAAATTTACTTTAAAAATTGCTTCGTAAATTGTAGATTTTGTTATGTACTTAAAATTCTACACTTTATCAAAAAAGTAACTTGAGATTGTAAATAACAGCACTTTTTTGTGTGTATTTTTGCATTTATCCTATATATATATATATATGTGTGTGTGTGTGTGTATTTGGGAAAAGTGTATATATACATATATGTGTGTGTGTAAAGTGTATATATACATATGTATATAACCCACGGTCACAAACTCATCAATCAAATATACACAAATATACATTATATATATATATATATATATATATATATATATATATATATATATATATATATACATACTATATTTATTACGGAAATGTTGTACGCCTTCTTCAGATGGTTGGAACGTCGAACTTTACTTCGCTCACTGGGGTAGACTGTTCTAATTCTACGTGTCATATATATATATATATATATATATATATATTTGCATATGTTTAATGGATGTCAGTTATCAGTTATGTCCTGTTAATACCCCTCTCCATGTTCTCCACTGCCTTAACCAGGTATTGAACTCACACCTGGATCTAACTAACGCCTTTATCCACTGTGCCATGTGTTCTTGAGGACATCTGTGTATAAATTTCTGGGTATTATAAACCTATTGTCATCAACAACCATTTTTACCAGTACTTATTGCAATTTTTGCTGTAAACATTTCATGTTTTTTTACCAGAGCTCATATTCATTTTTTTTTGTTTATTACCGCTTTTCTCAGGCACTCCTTATTATATATATTACTGTAATAAATATGGCGACAAAGATGAGGACAATAGTCCGAATAATCTAAATAGTGTACGTAATACCACTTCTCAGATAAATATACATACATATATATATATATATATATATGTATATATATATTCACTGTCATATATATATATATATATATATATATATATATATATATATATATATATATATATATATATATATATATATATATACAGAGAGAGAGGACAAATGCAAAACGACACAGCTGATGTTAAATAATCTGTACTCTTAATTGGGTACACTTGAACCTACGTAAATTCTTTAAGATGGTTTAAAAAAACCTAGACCCTAATTTTCCTTTTCCAAGATAGACTATTCTATAGTCCTCCTCCTCCTGCCATCACCTCTGTCACCTTATATCAATCTAAAACTGCCCCTCAACAACTTGTATTAAAAATAAAAGAAACCAAATTCTTTTGTAACTAGAGATGTGAACTGATGAAGCACCTGAAAAATATATTTTTCTGGGGAAATGAATTATGGTCATGGAACTTTAAGGTTGTCTCTTTCTTATATTATATATATAT